GAAAAAATGGGTCCGGATAACGGAAAAGTACCGTTTTTTTCTTCGAATTCAAAAGGAACATATCAGAGGTTGTATTATTAGGCTAAAGAAAGTTCCGGCTACTTTTGGAATTCCATTTTCGGACGCATTTTTCTGGCGCTTCGGACTTCAACAACAGATTATATCAGTGAAAGGAACTCTGAGCTTTTCAAATCCACTTCCAATTTTTGATGTCATACCGTGTTTGATTTGCACATCATAAAATGAAATCTTTGCAACCATAAAAATCTTAGCAATTTTCTTTCTGCCTTCTTTCTGTGCATTTCAAAGAATTTCGTCTAAATCATAGGTAATTCGAATGAGGGGACTGTCAACTTCTAATCCGCAGCTGCATTCGAGCTGCGTTTTGCGCCTTAAATTTACGAGCTGAACTTGTCTCCGACTGCAGCTCTTTTCGCATCTCGCGTCGCTTCTGCAGGATCGTTACGCTTGGCTGATAGGTCCAAAAGACGAGTAAGGCATACTCCATCATTGTTTGCAGTAATCAAAGGTTTGGCCCGTCTTTTGCAGAACAAGAAAATTTGAAGTCATTTACTCGAACAGCGCATTTTTGAAGGCAATAGTCGATTTTTTGGAACCTTCTGGGAAAACTTCTTTTTGCAGGGGGTCCCTCGAAAAGATGAGTTCCTCATAGCTCAGTAGACTTCTGTATAATCATAGCATCTCGGCTCTTTAGCTGTCATCTTGCGTGAGATTATCTTGCACAAACATTTTTCACTTCGTCCTTCTTCCGTTTTGCGCATGTTGGTGGACCACTATGTTGTGCGAGAAGCCAACAAGATAAATGTATGATGTAGACAAAATTGTCTTTGCACTGAATTTTGTAGCCCGAAAAGGATCAATCTGCATGAAGTTACAGCGATTTGAGAAAAAAATTTTGACAAGCGCCCCGGAACTTTCTTTACATTCTAATATTGTCCAATCGAACCATGTTAGGCATGTTTTTGATAATAACTCATCAGAAGCATGCTTACATGCTTTCTTAGCACTGTTCGATCAAAAATCAGCACTTTGGAATGTGTTTATAAAGGAAAAAATGACTTGGAAGAAAAGACGGTTGGTCTCCTGGGAGCATCAGGGTATCATACAAAAAACTTGAATATGCGATCTAAATATCTCTTAATCCCGTTCATAGTCGGTAGTAAAGGACAGTAGAAACACTTGCGGATGGATAGACAGCGAACATTCCGGAACTTTAGTATATGAAGCTTTCTTTTGAGCTGCTTTCTTGCGCGGGGATGTTGAAGCATGCGGCCCTGAGACTGCCTTCGTGTCTTCGTCCGGCAGCAAATTTTGCCTTTGGAAGCGGTACGCGCTCAAGCTCCCTTGTGCCAAGCCTCAACGCTCGAGAATACAGCTTTTCGGACCGTTCGCGCTAGTTAGTGTTTAAAGGCAGCGTTCACCCAAAACTTTGCCTCCCATGTTTTTGTCATTTAGGCCTTTTCATAGCCCTGATTACAGCCATAAAACTAAAATCGTCCAAACCCTCAAAAAACGTGCGATTCCTGGGTACCTGTTTTGAGGGCACGGACGAGTTTCGGATTGTTCATCCTCCTCGGCCTGCCAGTGGGGAGGAGCTGCGACCGCATGGCAGTTGCAGCTCTTGCGTGAGCACTCGTCCTCATGGAAAGCTTTGTGATAACAGCCGCCTTGTGATACGTCTCACAGGCAAAGGACCCGGCCAATGCAGATAGTATACTCCTGGGTTCGCTCGACAACTGTATACAAATCTGGGTGGGGTGGTTCCTGGGTGGTCGCTGCTTTGAAGGCGGTGTCCAGGCAAATCTGGGCGCATGCGTTGTTTGCCTAGAAACTGATGAGGGGGTCATAGTTAAGGCAGTGCCCAAACGGCAGTGCAAATGATCCATTCACGGCTAAGAAGTCAATCCCCAAACACTCCGCACCTGCGCCGTGACCGTAACACGTGTGTGTTAAAATGGGTCCCAGCGCGAACTGATGTTGAAGTGAGCGAAGTCGTTTCCGGGTATGCTCACGGCGCAAGAGCGAAGCCTTTGGGGACGAATTTCTCAGCCGCGAGTGAATCATTTGCGCTGCCACTTGGGCAGTGCCCTAATTAGGACACCTTCATCAGTTTTAACGCAAAAAAGCATGTGCGCAAATTTGCCAGTACACTACTCTCAAGGCAACGCGTGAACAAATGTTTTACACAGTTTATACAAATAAAGTCGATTTCAGATAGACAAATTTAGCAGAACGCTTTTTCGCATGCATTGCATGATCGTAAGTAAAGAGTATATTGCTGTGTTTGTTCTCCTAGCGACATTATACTATTACTACTATTCTACACGTGGCATACTCTCCATGAAAGTCAGCTTGGATTCCGTGAAGATCTTGCCCAAAGATTCGCTTCTTCACAAACCTAACTCCATTCTCACAAACTACGGTATGTCATAATTAGCCTTCAACTGGCAGGTTACAAAATTTGGGTTGGTCCGTATCTTTGTAGCATCATGCTGAGCTTACTCTTACAATTTTTAGTCTTCAAGACAGTTTTCTGCCTTCAGTTTGGAAGGAGAATCTTGTTCTCACCGTTTTTGTCAACAATCACTTCTACTTCATGGATAATGAAACGACAACTCAGTTCTGGGATGCTTTAAAGGAGCTAGAGGAGCTGCCCGGGTGTAAAGGTAATCAAAAATTTGAACACATTTGGTTTAACTTCAAATGTACAGGTCCGAAATCGTCGTATGTTTGGTTTAGAAATTTTGCGCACAGTTATGGACAGTCGGAAAGTGATTATCCTTATGATGTAAGCTAACCTTGCTGAACATAAATAGTAGAGTCTCACTTTTGAATTTATTAGGACAAATCTGAGTGTAAGTATGACACGAAAAGTCAAACGCTATTTCAGCAAGTACTGGATCCAAACAAACTACGAAATTTCTTTGAATACGATATATACCATTTCATCCACAGCGTTAGGCTAGGCAGGACACCGAAGGAGAATATATCTGTTGTGTAAGTGATGCTGTATTCGATTTTACGTCAAATTTTCTGTTCAAATCTACCACAAACAATCGTGCTTGCTGTCGATCAAGAAGTGTTTGTAACGTAAGAAGAGCAAGAAATCTTTTGCAAATGTGCTGAAAATGCGAAAAACTGAGAAGACATAAATTCCAAACTTTTCTTGATCAAGCTTGTTTCACCAATGGCTCAATGGATGTCTGGCTCCGACAACCTACTTCAGTTAGAGTTCTGTGGTATGACGGGATTAGACACATCGAAAGTTAGTTCATAAAATAGGCAAGTGACCAGAAAATGAAATTGCAAAAGTTTTCTTAGAAGTAATCTCAGCTACTGTTTACTGCAATCTCCGAGACAGTAAGTATGAGCGTTAGCTCTTTCTCGACTGGGTACTTGTAGATTTGACATCTCCAAACAAAGCTAAAAATTTAAAAGACGCTTAGTACTAGATGTAAAACGGCGAGCTTCTTGAGCGAAATGGAACAATTACTAATTTTCTTCTGTAGGATCCCCAGCATAAATTGACCAGGTATGCTTCAATAGTGTGACAGTGTAAAATCTTCAGGTTGAACTGACTTTCCCTCGCATCATAATGTTCACAATAAAAGGCAGAAATTTCTAAATTTCAGCTCACCTTCCCGTCCCGCCATTCACCAGAAATAATACGTTGCAAATTTTGTCGTTATTATATACGGGTGTTCCAGTGATATACACAGTTCAATTTTTCATGACTCTCATTTGATT